GGCAAACAGTCTTCCTACTGAATCACATTCCCAGTCCTGGGGGCCTTTTTGGTTGTTTTTGCTTTCTTGGAATACGGTCTCACTCTGTAGCAAAGCTGACCTAGAACTTACTTTCTTTTTTCCTTTCTTTTCTTTTTTTTTGTCTTTTTGAGACAGGGTTTCCCTGCAGCCCCAACAACGTAGACCAGACCAGGCTGGCCTCGAACTTACAGAGATCCGCCTGCCTCTCCACCACACCCGGCCTAGAACATTCTATGTAGCCCAGCCTGGCCTCTTCTTCACCAGTGCTGAGATGACAGGTGCAAACCACCATGCCCAGGGATTTATTTGGGTTTTTGTTTTGTTTTGTTTCATGAGTGAGGGTCACCCTGTAGCCCTAGCTTGCGGGGAACTTTCTAGGTAGATAAGGCTTGTCTTGTTCTCACAGAGATCCATCTGCCTCTGCTTCCCAAGTACTGGGCTTAAAGGTGTGCTCCACCACACCCCGCCTTTTACAGGGATTTTTTTTTTTTTTTTGTGCGTATGAGTACATTGCCTGAATGTGTGTAAGTGCACCCATGCCATGCAATGCCCACAGAGGTCAGAACCCATGGAATTAGGGTTACAGATGGTTGTTAGCCACCATGTGGGTGCTGTCAATCCGATCCTCTGCAAGAATATCCAGTGCTCTTAATCACTGAGTCATCTCTCCAGCCCCCTATGGGAATTTTTTTAAAAAACCATTATTTATATTTCTAATTCACTTAAAAACATCAGAATCTCATTACTTCTACTTTTAGATAAAGCTATTGACAGCCCAGACAGCTAAATAACTTGTCTAAAGGCACACAAGTAGTTAAGTAGATGTCTAGGTCAAGACTTGACACCATGACCCAACTATTTGAAATCCTATAGTCTTTCTGCCCCACATGACTCGCCTACTTAAAGATTATGGTCCCCCTGCTCTAGCAGAAAAGGAAAAATAACTTGCAATAACTAATTTAAAAAAAAAAAATCACCTTTCAAAACACTTTGCTAAACACCACCTTTTAGGGGGTAAATATTATGCACAGGAGTTGAGACAACTTAGAACTATCTTCAACTTGCTGAAACAGACTGTAGTGGTCTATAAAATGGGCCAACACTTATATCAAGACGACTGTGGAAACTGGATTGAGGTAACATACAGAAAAGCACCATACTGATATATGGTCATGAGATTATTTAGTTTAAAACAAGGGAAAGGAAAAGAAAGAATAGAGTGCATCCACAGGAGGCCGTAGCAATTCACCACCTCTCTTGTAACTTCTCAGGGACCAATATGAAGACACTGAACTGACAGGAGAAACTATGGACAACCATGTCTCTACTAGCACAGTCACAATGTTCTGACCTAACCAAGTTAGAAATAAGACACTTTAAACTTTACAGTCTTAAACCATCAAATTCAACAGAAGAAACCTACAGATAGGGAGGAAAAAAACTTCTGTCACTCCCGAGTGTGAATGCAAAATTCCAAATCAATTATCCCCCAAGTTCTTTAAACTGATACAGATGGAGCTTCTGAGACAGGAGTCTCCTCGTGTGGAAGAAACTGAAAGCCCCACTCGAAATCTAGACTCAGCCCCTTAGAAACAGTGTTTCCGTGACTACACCATTTGCAAATGAGTTCCTCCAGGTGGGTCTTGAGGGCTAAACTTGTCCAGAAGGAGCAAGAGAATCAGAGAAACAAGAAGAGACAAGCCAAAACTACTGCCTGGACAGTCAGCACACTGGCTCGTCCCCAGACAGCGGCTAGCTTCTTCCAGTCTAGAGGAAACAAGCCTGGAAGAAACAATGCAAGAAAGATGGGACAGCACAGGAAACATGGCCTGAATGATTTCTCTAGTTTCCTGCTTTTAACATTACACACCTGGAGCTAGAAGAAAGGCTTTTTATGTCACTTAATTTACCAATCTGACTACACAAATGAGCAAGATTTTGCAAGAAGGGTCAAAGAGTCAGTTCTGACCATCTCATAAAATGATTTACAGCCACTGCTCCCCATGCACACCCATTACCCAACATGCCACCAAGTACAAGGTGCACAAGCACATTCTGCCAACACATGCTACTAAAGCAAGTAACAGAGAACTACATAATTCTAGTTGTGCTCTAGAATCATGTTCTTCTGTTTTGGTTTTTTTGGGCGGGGGTTGTTTGTTTATTTTCTTGAGACAGGGTCTCCCTCTAGCCTCAGTCGAGGTAGAACTTACTATATAAAACAGGCTGGCCTCCACTCACTGTGATCCACCTGCCTCTGCCTCCCAAGTGCTAGGATTAAAGGCGGGCGCCTGGCTTAAAATCACGTTCTTAATCCAACTGCTGCAGGATGTCTCCACTACGATGCCTAAAAAGCATCTCAAGACTTAACACTGGCCAAAGCATAACCAAATCTGAGCCATCCTACACATTCCCAGTATCAGTAAAAGCCTGTACCATCCCCTCAGTCCCTCCAGTGAAAACAGTGGTATTCAGGAGTTCTCTCTCTCAACCTTCATATCCACTTAGTAGCAATCTTGTTCCACACAAACTGCCAAATCTAGCCACAGCAACCCTGATCCAAACCACCATCTTTCTTGCCTCCTACCTGCATCTCTCTCTGATCCCATTACCCGGCACTTCCTTACACATAAAGTCCACTCCACAGAGTAGCAAGAGAATCGTTCATTCCTTTGTTCAAGGGCTCCCATGCTTCAATACTGTTTTCGAAATACAAGTTCAATGGTAGAGTATTTGCCTAGCATGTGCAACACTCTGGGTTCAATCCTTTGCACTGAAAAAAAATAAAATTTAAGCCTGTTACTGTGAACTTCAAGGCCCTCTGTGATCCAGCCCTAACCTACCTTTCCACCTTTGTTTTCCTGCTGTCCCCCATGGCCCAACCCTCTCCTCATGCACCAGACCTCACTACTCCAGCTGTCCCACTAGCCACTCAGTCTTTCTCTTCCCAGTTTCACCCCTAAGACTTTCACATTCCTTCTTTCTGGAAGGTTGAGTCCAAAGCCAGATCTAATCAAGGACATCCAATTGTCCTTCGAGCCTTTTCTTTCTGGAACACCTTACCAAATATCAAATCCCTTAACTCACTCTCTGTAACATGCACCGCCCTCTGTGTTTTTCATGGGAGAGGAACCTCTTCTGTCTCATTCACTATTGTATCCCCAGTGCCCAGGACATAGCAAGTATCCAACTATTTCCATGAACTCAACCATATAAGCAGATGCTAAGTGCCCCCACTAATCTAGCTAACAAAGACAGTGGTAAAGATCTGGCTCCCGTGAAATATTGCTCTATGGTGGGAAGCAGACTAACAAATGCCAACAGATGGCATGTAGTAGGAAAAATAGTAAAGATAAGGGAAGTAGAATGAAGGAGGGGTACTATCTTATGTAAAACAATCAAAGAAAACCGTATTAGTAAAATGGCATTTGGACAGAGACCTGAAGGATAGACAGAGGCAAATGAGTGAGCCATGATTACCTTTCTCAAAGAAATAGCATGTGCAAAAATCCTGAGGTCTAGTTAGGAGCTGCAAGAGCAAGCCCTGGCATGGATTCTATTCATCCAACTGTGCAGACACTGGAGGATTCTGGGCAGACTGAAAGGCCATGATTTATGTCTTAAAAGGACCACTCCCACTGTCCAGAGAAGATTGAAAAGAGTAAGGTTGGCATGATAATGGCTTACACTGGAGAAAGAGAAGAGACTGTATTCTGGATGCACATTTGAAGTAGAATCATTAGACTCTTCTGACAGATTCTGAGGTGAGAAAAAGAAGTCAGGGGGCTAGCTCGGTGGCACAGCACTTGTCTAGCATGTGCTGTTATGCCCTGGGTACAACTCCCAGCACTAGACAGCAAAATTGAAAACAAAACAAGAACTCAAGGCTGACTCTATTAGCTTAAACTCCTGTAGTAATGGAGTTGCCATTTACTTCTAAGACAAAGAGGGAAAATAAATTTGGTTTGCACTATGAGATGTCTATTGGTCACCCAAATGGTGATTTCCACCAGTCTGATTGATATATAAATTTGGAAAGCAGGAGACAGATCTGTATTGAAGAAGCCTGTGTATTTGACAGTCTCCCATGCATGTGTTTAAAGTCCTGAGTGGTAAAGATCTGGTTCCCATGAGAATAGGGAAAGTCTACAGAAATCCTACAACTGATGGGTAGGATACAGTCCCAACATTTAGTCAGGAAAAATGAGAAACTAGCAAAGAAGTCTAAAAAATAACACCCAGTGAGGAGAAGGATGAGAAGGCCAGGTAATGTGCTGGAATCCATACCTAATCTTGCCACTAATCCAAGTTTTATATCACAGAATCCAATAAGGATAACCTCCAGAAAATTAACATTCACTAGCCAAGAATGATACTCTAGACTGTTTTCCTTTATGCTTAAGAAAATAACTAGATCTTCAGTTTCAGAAGTAGTTTACTCATTCGCTGATATGTTCAATTACTGTATGTTAGGTACTGCGGAAGAGCTTGGGGAAAACAGATAAAATTATCTCATTCTTTGTAACTCTGACCTTAAACCTCTTCTACAGGGCTGAGAACAAATCTGTCATCATGCAAATAATTCAGCCAGAAGTCGATCAAGTAGACGTCACTGATTAAGCTGGCACCACAGCACCCACATGGGGGATTAGGAGGGCGGAGGGCACGACTGCAGGTGGACCCAATCTGCTAAAAGAATGACAACTATTACAGACTTACCTTCTCACTGGCTCCTTAGCTGAGTGCGGAGGGCGGGAAGCCCAATCTTGCTAGACAGGTGAAGTGAGTCCCTTCCCAACAAACCAAACTAAATCTCTAGTTATCCAGGCCCTAAGCACCAGACCCTTGGATCCCTCAAAACCCAATGATACCCGCCGTAAACCTCTGGAGCCCCACGCACTACAAATCCCACCACCCCTGGCCGCGACCGCGGGGACACCTGGGTTCTGTAGTCTCCACGGCCCGACGCCTGCCAGTACCTGGAAGCGGTAGAGAAAAGCTTCAGGCCAGAGGAAGAAGTAGGCCGGGCTGATGAGACCGAGCTTGCCGATCAAGGGGACCGCGACAGTAGCGGCGAACCAGTAGCGCGTGATGGCCGGGATGCTCCTGAACCAGTCCCCGATGTCCGACATCGTCGCCCGTCAGTGGCTGGCGCAGCACCGCGCGTCCGCCGTGCCCACCCCGCACCGGGCCAGGGGAAATACAGGCGGAAGCCGCCGCAGCCGCGATGCAGGAGGCGGAGACCGGCGGACGTGGCGCCACCGAATTCGGACTAGCAAGGCAGCGCTCACAAGACAAACTTCCCCTTCCGGCGGCCGCGGGCCACGTGACCGGAAGTTCTTCGCTGCTTAAAGGGCAAGTGCCCCTTTAACTGTCGAACAAGACTGGGGGTCGTGGGGGCGTGGCCGAGTGGGACGGGCGGGGCGACGACAGGACTGGTGGGAAACAGTGGTTGTCAGGAGCAACGGCAAGTGCTGAGGCCAATGGTGAGGCCACGTGCCCTTCACTTAGTTCTCGCTGAAGCTGTTACCCGAGTGTGTCCTCCTGGAGAGTATTTAAAGGAAAAGAGGCCATTTAAAGTAGATAGGTCCTAGTTTGTGAAGGCGTGTGTCTCTTGAAGGTTTCTACACCCTGAGGATGCCACTATGGCCTCCAACGCTGTCGTGGTACCCTCTCTTCTGGACCTTTCGTTCACAGGGTAGACGTAATGAACAAATGAGTCATAAGGAAACTTCAAAGAAGGACAGGGAAAGAAATTAGGATGGCGGGGGAGAGTAACTAGGAATGGAAGAGCTTAAGACGAGATGACTCCTGCATTTGAGAATGGCCACAGCCATGGGAAAGAAATTTGCATGTAGAGAAAAAAGTCGCTCTTAACAGGAGTGCAGAAGAAACTGAATAGTAAAATGATGGTCTTCGCTGTTTATATGGTTTATTTTTTTAATTCTTTTTATTTTATGAGTGTTTTCCCTGCATGTATGTAAATTCACCCATATATGTAGTGCCTGCAGAGGCCAAAAGAGGGCATCAGGTACTGTGGAACTGGAGCTTTGGATGATTGTTAGTGTCACCATGGGTGCTAGGAATGGAGTCCACATTCTTTGGAAGAACAGCCAGTGCTTTTAACCACTGAGCCATCACTCCAGACCCCATTTTACTTTTTAAAATAAAATATCTCAAATATTCTTAGGGAATTATAACTACAAACTTGCAATGGAACTATATGTATCTGGTAAATTTTCTTTAAAAGATTAAAATTTCTATTAGAATGGACATTGGATGGTTTCTATGGTAACCCACTGAAGCCTTTTTCCTATATTGGAAAGGTATCGTTTCTGTACATACCACACATAGCTTCTTGCTTTGTGTTGACTCAAACCTTTTGATAATAGAATAAAAGAAATGAATTGGAAGAGAAGTACTATG